TGTTAAAATAACGCAACCTCTCCATCAATGGATCTCAGCACTTTTTTTTTCATTCATAGCATTTTTTTACTTTATCACGTTTCCCTGCTGTGTTTGACACGCGGATGATTGACAGCAACATTAACTTTATCTTTTTTTTATCTACTTCAGCTTCAATATCTGTTGTAAGTTACCACTGACAGCTGCAAAAATGGCTGACAAGATAAAAAACAATTAGCTGCTGTCTGTCTTGTTCCGTCAGGTCAGGATGATAGTGGTGAGAATGAGGCCTGCGATAACTTCACTGACCTTAACCTGTCCCACTGCCTGATGGGTACCAGCCTGTATGTGCGGCTGCTCCTCTACACCCGCTCTAACCTGGACTGCGGCCGTGAAATCAACCACCACAACCTGTCCTCACAGCCGCTGTTTGACCTCTCACGCCCCACTGCCTTTGTTATCCACGGGTACAGGCCTACTGGAGCGCCCCCTATCTGGATCAACCACCTGGTTAACCTGATGGCAGAGCAGGAGGACATGAATGTTATTGTAGTGGACTGGAACAGGGGGGCAGCTAATCTGAACTATTTCACCGCCGTGATTTACACCAGGGAGGCTGCACACAATCTCACAGGCTTCATCATGAACATGGAGGTGAGAGTGAACACAAGAAACTTTATGTTGACTTTTTTTTAAATTACCTGTCCTTACCAGATGAGTGGGGGATAAATAAAAGAACAGGAATCCCCAGTAGAGTTTAGTGTTTGTAACTTTAAACATTTCACCTTCAGGAAGAAGGAGCCTCTCTGAGTTCTGTTCACCTGATAGGCGTCAGTCTGGGGGCTCACCTGGCCGGATTTGTGGGCGCAAACCTGAAGGGAAAGATCGGACGCATCACAGGTAGGACGTTAGAGACAAAGGCAGGAAAGATAATGGTTTAATTAATAGATAGAAAATCTGAAAAAAATAACTTGATTGGCTGTAGGTCTGGACCCAGCAGGACCGATGTTCACCAGTGCTACACCTGACCAGAGGCTGGACCCGTCAGATGCCATGTTTGTGGATGTACTTCACACAGACATGAACTGTGAGGATAAACAGTTAACCTAGTAACTAGTAGTTTACAGTAATGACAAGAAATAATATGACTATCATAAAAAAAACATGACACAGGATTTAGACCTGTTTTTTTGCTTCTAGCATTTGGCTTAAGTGGAGCTCACGGTCACATTGACTTTTACGCCAACGGTGGAGCAGATCAACCAGGGTGTCCCAGAACCATCTTTGCAGGTAAACAAACCAACACAAATCATTTAAAGGGCCTACTGCTGCCCCGTGTGGTCAGTTTGTGTCACTGAGGTAATTTGAACAGAGGTCTTAAATAATAAAGATTTCAAATAAAACATTTAAAGTGACAACTACTGTGTGCTGAGATGGAAAATTGTTGATTTTCTCTGTGGACTTTTGTTGATTTTTTTTTCTCTGGGTCTTCTCTTGGACCCGTAGGTAAATCATATTTTGTGTGTGACCACCAGCGCTCTGTCCTCCTGTTCTTGTGTGCTCTGAACCGGACCTGCAGCCTCACTGGTTACCCCTGTTCATCCTACAGTGACTTCCTGGATGGAAGGTGTGTGCAGTGTGATGCCTTCAGACCGGCCTCGTGTCCCGTGCTTGGTACGTGTTCACACACAAACTCACCCAAGTCTCACACACACACACACACACACACACACAACTACCTTGATCTGATGACTGGTCTCCTGCAGGTTATGATGTCAGCCAGTGGAGGGAGACACTTCTGCAACTGGGACAAACCCAAGTCTTCTTCAGCACCACAGCCTCACTGCCCTACAGGAGTGAGTCCACACTGAAAACAACACATCAGAATAACATTATGACAAAGACATAACATTATGGCTTCATGAACAGTTTCTTTCTGGGGAGTTGATACATTGAGGCCACTGTTGAGTCATTTTTTAAACTTTAGTTAATTTTTTTCCAGCTTGTGACTTTTACAATCACTAACATTAACAATATAACACACAGATCAAAGTCTAAACGACTGTGTGCCTTTGTGTGTGTGTATCAGAGCTGAGCTACAGAGTGGACATAGTCACCTGGAACCAGTACTTGCGCTGGGGCACCATCTACATCAAACTATACAGCGGCAGAAACTTCACTGAAGCTCGGGTCGACCAGTGAGTTTGACATTTCTGTAGTGACTTTCTCCTGTGATTCAGTTGTTCATGGTTAGTTTTTAAATGTGTTACATTTCTTGTAATACTTAAAAAATATATAGTTTAATCATACCTGAACATTTCTTTTTTTTGTTAGTAAACTGTTCCGCTTGGAGCAGTACACCTCCACCCGTCTGCTGGCGCAGTTTGATGAAGATCTGCAGAACATCCAGAAAATCTCACTGCGCATCAACACCGGGAACATAATCGGACTCCGGTACAAAATCAGGCTGCTGCGAATCCGCTTCACACCACTGGAACATCCTGACAGGTTAGACATGACCAATGACTTCTTCACCAGAGAACATTTTTCAAAATGTATTTACAGCAAATCTAGAATTTGACTTGACTGTTTCTAAGAAATACAAACACATTTCTTTTTGAAATTATATTACAGAAGCTTTCATCCAATCATTTTTCTGACCTACGAACAAGTTGTTGATGTGGCTTTTCTTCTTCAGGCCTTTAATGTGTCGCCATGACATCATCATGGAGGAAAACCGGGAGGTGGTGTTCAGACCGTTACCCTGTGACTCTCACCTGTGACCTCTGACCTAGGAACACTATTCTCCATCTACAAAAAAAACCCCATCTTACCTCACCTGTAATCCTGCTGCAGGACCCACAGTGCTCTGGGTTTCCTGGGCCCAAGTGAATGTCCAGGAGTTAGGGCACCCCCCAGTGGAGGAGCTGAAGCATCTTTGTTAGCTGATGAAGCTGCTGTGTCTGAAATGTTCTATTACATCCTCTGCATTTTTTTATACACATGATCACCTAAAGGAACCTCAACATAACGTGACATTTCACTTCCTAGTACATGTGAAGGAAGGAGGAAACAAATGAAAACATTAAATGTTTTATTTATATAGTCTTGACTGGTAGAGAAACGAGCATCACTACCGCTAATTTCAGGCCATGTTGAAGAACAAAGACGCTGAAGAACAAGTTTACGCAGTTGTTAATGAGAAGAATAAGTGCAATATGAAGAAGAAGGTGGAGAACAGAATTGTAAAGGACAAATCTGTGCCATGAGAAGGAAACATTGATTAACCTTTCATTTAACAGTCATTTATTAGACATATTTAAAACAAAAGAAAATTAAAAACTAAAGATGAAAACTAAAGGAGATGGAGGTGAGAGAAAAAAACCAAAATATGTCAGAAACAACAGTACTTCCTGTGTTTTCAGTCATTTGTAAATGTACTATGATCCAATGACAATCAAACTGTCCAATTACCAATGTTGACCTGAGGAGAGAGAGAGAGGGAGAGCTATTAGTAAGAGACTTCAATAATCTTGAAAAAAAATGTTCACAGAAATTTTTTTTTTATTTCAAATTTCACAAAAACAACCAAATGTCTCATCCTCTGCTCAGCTTGACTCTCTGAACCCAGTTCTCAGTCTAAATGCACACGTGAGTGACCTCACTTACCTTTATTGTTGATGTGGTTGTTCTGTCGTCTCATTGGTCCAACACGGTTACTAAAGCGGTTGTTCCTGCCCTGGAAGCCTGTGTTCTGTCCGTGTGAAACTCCTTTTCTCTGTGACCAAAACCAAACAATGGGAAAGTTCAGGTGTTTGTTTGTGTTTGGTAACGTGAAATCGATCTGGTCCACGTAATGGAAAAAGAAAAGTCCCAAAAAGCTCACCATGATGCCTTCTGCTCTACTGAAACCCTCGTCTTCCACAGGTGACAAGTTGTCAACAAATTTTAAACCAGGAACGCTGACAGAGAACATTAAGACAACAAATGAATATTTTAAAGTCTACGCTGACAGAGAACATTAAGACAACAGACAACAAATGAATATTTTAAAGTCTATTATTACCTACAGTGTTCTATTATAAACAAGGTAAACGTTTAGTGTATTGTAGGTGTGAAGCTATTTCAGGTCTCTTTACTGCAAATTGTTTTATTACTTTGTGTTGATTTTTCATTCAGAAATCCATGTTCAGTGTGTCGACATAAAGCCTGTATAATTTTGCACTTGCATTTCACTTTTCAGTTTGCAGATACATTCACATGGTGCTTTATTATTATTAAAATAAAAAAAATCAACGTTTTGTGTTTACATCCTGTTAAAGCACGTTACATCAATGCAGCACAATCTGGGGAACCAAGCACCGTCTCACCTGGTTGTACCAGCGGGGCGCTGTGATGTGCTGCTACTACCAGGTATTGTGACTTTCACTCCCTCTAGTCTCTCCTGCCGTCTCCTCTCCAGGTCATGCCTCAGATCCCCTGGGCCTCGCACTGGCTGCTGGTTAAAATCCTGTCATTGACACACAGGTGTTTTTCTAATCAGGAGATTAAGATTTACAGTGACCTAAAGTCTGTAATATGTGTTACAACCCTTATCTTAGGTCATGTGATGGTGTGTGTTTGGAGAAGAGGAGCTAAAAATAATACTGCGTACGAGTTCCCTTAGACTGGGGACATAACGTGTGATCTAGATATTAACCCTAGATTCATAATATTACGCTTCTGGAGTACACAGATTATGAAACACCAAAGCACAAAAAATGTCTAACTTTGCCTTTTTGGAGCAGCTGCAGCCATCGAAACAGAAGTAAAAACAAATGACAGACTTTAGAATAAACTAAAGAAGCAGGATTGGTTCACTAACTTGCACAGAGCCTTGTCCAGAAAACTGAGACTCATTAGCAACCAGAGGAGAGTTCAGGTTCAGGCTGAAACCTCTGCAGATAAAAAAGGAAGAAAAATGATATATCTCGAACTATGTACACTGTAAGATGAAATCTGTGGTTGTCTCAATGTAAACACCCAGACAGACCGGTGAGAAGTGAACCTCTGGTCCAGCGTGAGCTCCATCATCTCTTCCTCAGAGAGACCGCCCTCTTGGGGAGCGGAGAAACGCTCATTCAGCGTGATGCTGTCACCTCTGAAATAGTGCTCTGTCAGGACAGGTAAGAAAGGAAGTTATGTACACTGCATTGTGTTCTTACACCACTAGTTAAACTTCAGACAGAACACTGCTGACCTTTTACATGGTGCACAAGAGTAATGATCTCCTGGGCAAATGTCCCAGTGTGCACCGTCTTCTCCTTGTACGTCCCTGAGGTTTCTAACATGGGCAGGAAGTCCAGACGCTGACGGCCCACGTTGACCAGGTCTAAGGAGAGCTGCCTGTCTGAGGAGTAACACAACAAACTGCAGAGAGAGAAGTCAGAGAAAATTCAGTCAAACAAATACTGGGAAACTGACTGGAAAGAAGATGCACTGCAGTCAAATTAGTTGCATTTCAGGAGCCAAACATTTCTGGTATTGTTGTCAATTACAACAACAAACCTTTTGTTTAAAGACTTAATACCAATAAAGACTAATCCAAAGCCCAAAATAAAAATGTGCTTTTGGAAAGTTAGGGAAAAGTTATTCTTAACTGCACTTTGTATTAGAAATAATTCTCTAAATGCAAACATCCCAAATTATGCGAAAAGCTTTACCTTACCATACTCACTTACCTTTCATTTGATTCCACAATGTGACAATATTGACAGTACCTATACCTTCATGCTGACTCTAAAGGAAGAGGCTAAATATTTTACATGCATAAAACCTGGGATATTTGTAGGCGGCTCGAGGTACAGCTGAACAACAGTGAAAATTTCCCCCGGACAGATAGACAAGCGAGTTAAGAGAGGGTAAAAGTTCACACTTCTTTCATCTGATTTTTTTTTAATTCAGGAAAATATCGTGGCCAGGTGGGGCACTTCAGGATCTGGGCTTGTGCTGGTGAGTTGGGGGTAGGGTTTGGGTTGCAGGATGACATAAACCATGGCAGTAGGTTTCTGACAGAAACATCCTCATTTTTGCGACTCTTACAAATTCACCAGCTTCTCTTTAGTGTATGATGACTCATCAAATCTGCAGATGATTATTCTCCACTGAAAATGGGTCCAACTTGAACTTGTTATATATTGAATTCCAGAATCCTACAAACACTCTGCTTTTCCTTCTTCACCACAGCTGCACATGCTTCAAGGAGGAGTTCACAAGTTCATGATGAAAACCTTTATTTCTTCTGAGCCTTCTAAACAGTTGTTTATGGTCATGTCTTTAAAACCAACCCATTTCCTTTAACTGTCAATAATCTTCATGGCCATTTTCTTTGTGTGTCTGGGATGATGTTTCAGTTGTAGAACTGATTCAGCAATAACAGCCTTTGTCCGCTGGTCCCGTGTTGTTCCATTTTGTCAATGACAGATTCAACCACCTTTTGAACACTCTTCCATGATGAGACCGTGACTGACGGTCAACCATTTCAGAAATGTTATTCTGAAGAACTCCTGGGCATCCTCTTCAGTTTTTAAACCAAAACACTCACCTTTGTCTTCTTCTCTTCAAAATATCATCACTGGCAAATAATTCTTTTGTGTGGAGTTCAGGAATACCCTCATTTCCTTCTTCCTTCTTGCATTTTCAAACCTTTGTCATCTTGTCCATACTCATACACCTGCCAGTTGTGTTCTTTCTTGTCTCTCCAGACCTTGGTTGATCATCCATCCAGTTCACATAGCGCTGTCCGTCTAGTGACTGTGATCAATTTCTCCTCTGGAACATCTGATATTTACTCCTCGTCGTGGTGGTCACTTCCCCAGATTCATCTTTTTTTGCAATAGGAATAAAGGCAACCGTTCAGATTGGCTCATCAAAGAGCAGCAGGAGGGACAGCCATCAGGATGGAACTTCATAAATGCATTCTTCTGGGTTTCACAGGGTTTCAATAGAATACAAAACAAAAACACTCAAGTTTAAAACGTAATAACGAGGGTGAAAACACAATTGAACACATTCCTTATTTGTTTTTCCAAAAACAGGCAGGCCAGATTCCTGATTCAGGAATAATCCACATCCCTGTTTCAAAGTGAAACACAGAATGGTTCTCCTTTACCCCAGCTTTCTCTTTTGTGATCCATGCGACAGAAAAATCCATTCTCCTTCATCTGGTCCATTAAGGTCTTCAATGCTGCAGTGGTGCACACCCAAACACCCATCATGTTTGGGTTTCTAGAAATCACAAAAGGTTCAGTTACAGGTGCTGGGTTCTTCTGTTCTCTTCATATTCACTGATTTTCTTTCTATATTCTCGTCATCCACATCATACACCAATTCCAATAATTGATTCAAATTTCCACAGAATCTTATGCCAACAACACTTTTTTCACCGATTTCCAATTTGTGGGCCATCATCTTTGGTTTCCAACAGTGATTTCCCCAAAAAACTCCAAGATGTTGCTGGATTGAACTTTGTTGGATGCTGATATTGCAGGTGCCAAAACTTCATATATGCACTCCATCACAAATGCTGATTGACACCTAAGCCATGTTTCATGCAGGAAATGATGAGGTGTTTAATCAAATCCAGGTAAAAAAAACAAAAAAAAATGTTGTTCCTCTCATCAATTCTCAAATCTTCAGCTTCTGAGTTTCTTCTTCTTAAACTGCAGAATTAGTTTCACTCAGAAAGAGAAGTGTGAACTCTCACCACTCACCCTGTAAGCTCTGATATACTCTACCTGTTCTCATTAACTGGTCTGGTCATGTCCACTTTAATGGTTAAAGTTTCCTCAATTGCCGATGCCGTGTTGTTGGCTCTCTTTTCCTGCCGTGCCCGTGGCATTTTGGGGTCCAGGTCAATCCCCTGAAGTCGATCCAGTTTGTTGGTCCTTTCGCGCGTCCAGTTTCCTTCCATGTGGCCATGCTCCTCCTTCTTGGGCTTATAGTGAGCACTCTCTCGGAACTCTCTGTATCCTGGTTGATGCTCTTCATGGGGATGACTTTGAAATCCTTCCCCAGACTGCACTGGTCGGGGTTGATTTCTGTAAACTATGGGCTTTTCTTTTTGTGCAGGGTTAAATCTTCCTCTAGTAGGGTGAGGCCCATCTCTCCACTTGCGAGTCACAGATCGATCGTCGTTATCATGTTTCATAGCGTTGCATTTGTCATCTAACACAGGACTTGTGTTCAACACTGGGTTGACGGAGTCTCTCCTGGTATCTTGGAAGTAGCGCTCCCTCAAATCTTCTCCATCCTCTGAGTGACTATCAGACGATGTTAAAGGCAGAGACAGGGACATTAGTGGAAGTGGATTCCTCCGTGGTTTAAGGTCTGCGTCCCTGCGATTGTCACCATTTCCCCACTGTGGTGAGTTCCTGTTCTTCACCATGCCATGATCGTGCTCAACCACAATTGGTCTAAAAATATCTCCACGAGTGTCACCTCCGAACCTATCCCTGGACGAGTCCACTGAGTAACGCTGATTCCCAAAGTCCTCCATATTCCTGTACCTGTGATAGCACAAGGGGGGGTAGCATGGTTCAACACAGATTCAAGGACCTGTCCAGTCTATTAAAAAAATAAACAAGTCTTATATGTTTTTTCATCTGTCTTTTGAATTTGTACTAGCAAAAAAAATAACGTAACCTAAAAAAGTAAACAAAACTCTCAGAGGGACTAAAGAATGATTAAAAGAATGTTAAAATGATCTTAACTGTCTTAACTATTGGACTAAGTGAACAGTAAATTCCTTTCATACCACAAGGTGATAACGTTTCATAGTTTTATGTCTGCCTTGGAGACTGTGGGTTTTCTTGATGGTCTGATGGGTTTTATCCCCAGAGGGTTTTAACTTTAAGAAGTTCTTGTTTTTTTCCACTCATTAATTTGCAGACAGGCAGCAAAAATCCTCCATGTCAGGCCAGATGGGAATTTTAAATATGACGGTATTTAAGGAAGAAAAAAAAACAGCTATTCTGATAATGCTGGTAGCCCAGCTCTGGAACAGTTCTATGTCGTTAATTACTTTGCTAACTTATATCGAGCTGCAGCCTCTTTTAGTACTCATATCTGTTAACAATAACTGACTTCTTTTCCAGTGTCCCTCCTTATATTTTTTTAGTAAATCTTCTTCAACAGAAGCACCTTCCAATCCAGTGATTGATTTTTTATGTATGTATGCGAAGCAGTACGGCTTAAGTTAGTACTCTGACTGCAAAAAAATAGAGAACGAAGGCAGACAAAAAAGAAAATTAGTTCTAGGAAAACTAGGAAAGAACAGAATCTTCTGGATCTTCGCTGTGCTGTTCCTTTGTGGAGATAGTGCTGCAGTGCATTTACCCATGATGACTTGTGTTGCCCATTTCTCTTCTGTGCCTCTTAATGGAAGGGCTCCTCTCTTGATGCAGATCTTCCTGTCGTCTGTCTCTGGTTGGACTGATGTTCCGCCTCCTTTTTTCCCTACCTGCTTCTCTCTGGCCTTCTCCTGTCACACCGGGATTGATGTCCCTGGACCTCCATTCCCCTCCGACCTGATCCCAGCTCCAGCCC